CCTGCACGCCATGCGAAATCACTAGATCTCAGCTCTCATGGCTGGCTCAGTCTTCTTCTGGCCTGCCCTTTCTTTTTGCCTAGATGGGAGAGGGGAAAAGGAGGGGCTTATTACCAAGATAAAGGAGGATTTCAGAGCCAAGAAGAAACTTTACCTTAAAAATGTTTTAAAAAGAAAAATTTTTTAAATGAAAAGACAGAGACAGAAAGAGACAGAGGGAGACAGAGAGAAGGATACAGGGGCTCTACCAGGGTAAATTCTCAGCAGAACATCTTCATTGCCTTATCTCTGAAATCACTAGATCTCAGCTCTCATGGTGGACTCCTATAATCCTTTTTTTTTTAAAAAAAGAGATTTTTACTATGGGGCACTTGCTTGCCAGAGAAACAGAGGCAGAAAGAGAGACAGAAAGCAAGAAATCACTCCCCGGGGGGATGGCCACACCACAGTCCTTTCTCTTCCAATCTCCTCTTGGGATTTTGGGCACACATGCACATGCGCCGAGTATGAGTTTTAAGCCACCAGGTCCGGAACTTGAACTGCAGTTGGCCATGTGGGAGTCCAACACCTTAACCACTATGCCATCTGCTAACCCGGAAAAACATACTTTGAATAATGTCAGTCCTGTTACATTTACAGAGACTTGTTTTATGACCAAGGATTATTTCTCCTAGGGTTTTTGTTTGTTTGTTTGTTTTTTAAGAGAGATTTTTGGTATAAGGTGTGTGCACTCACCAGAGAGACACAGAGAGAGACAAAAAGCAAGAAATCACCCCTTAGGGGGTATGGCCATGCCACAATCCCTTCTCCATTTTCCTCTTGTGATTTTGGCCATACATGTACACATGCCCGGTGTGAGCTTTAAGTCACCGGGTCTGGGACTCAAACCGCGGTCGACTGTGGGAGTCCAGTGATGTAGACATTATACCATCTGCTGGTCCCTATAATCCATTTTTTTTAATAATTTTTTTTAATTTTATCATTATATATATATTTTTTAATTTGCTACAGGACACATGTGCTTACCAGAGAGAGAGAGAGACAGCCAACTGTCAGGTCTGGGACTTAAATTGCTGTCACCCATGCAGGAGTCCAGTGTCTTAACCACACGCCACCTGATGATGGCCCCTTGACTATAATCCATTTTGAGCTGATTTTTGTATATTGCAAGAGATAGAACTCTTCTGCATGTAGATATCTGACTTTTCCAACACCATTTATTAAAGAGACTGTTTTCCCTCAATTAATATTTTTGGAATCTTGGTCAAAAACCAGTTAGCTGTATGCACATGGATTTACTTCTGAGCTCTTTATTTTGTTCCTTTGGTCTGCGTGTCTGTTTTATACCAGTACCATGCAGTTTTACTTACTATAACTTTGTCATGTATTTTTCTATATTATTCATTTTAATTATTATTTATACATTTAATTACTATACATTATTTAGATTGTAAAGAGACTTTACCCAGCATGATATACACCTCAGTCAAGCCCAGCCAAGATTATACACATCCTCATCAACAAATAATAAACCATATCTGTGTCCCACAAATGTCTTACCTCTCTATTTTGTACTCCAAATTTCCTTTCCTACACTTTTCTCCTCCTACACTCTTTGTAATGTATCTTTAAGTCAAGAAATGTGATGCCTCCAGCTTTGTTCTTCTTTTCTCAGCAATGCTTTGGCTTTTTGGGGGTCTTTTGTGAGTCTACACAAATGTTGTGGTTATTTCCCTATTTGTGTAAAGAATGCCACTGATATTTTGATATTTTGCATTAACTCTGTAGATTGCTTTGGGTGGCATAGATATTTTGACAATATTAATTTTTCCAATCCATGAACATGGTGGGATATTGTTCCAACTTTTCTATCTGTGTGTGTTTGTCTTCTTTATGACATTTTCCTAAATAACCCACAGGCCAAAGAAGAAAACATTTTGAACTGGATAAAAATGAAAACAAGAAATGTCAAAAATTATAGAATGCAGCTAAAATATGATTAAAGGATATTTATGCTTTAAGCTCATATGTTAGCAAAGGAAGATTCCATGTCAATAGTATAAATCTCCACCTTGAGTAATTAGAGAAAAGAACACAAAATAAATGGAAAGTGAACAGAAGGATTGATCTAAAGCAGAATGGTTTTTTGGTTTTCATTTCATTTTTCTTTTTGTTTGGCTTTGTTGACCAGAGAGAGAGCAATAGAAAGAAACAGTGAGGGGGAAGTGAGAGATCACCCCCAGGGGGATGGCCATGCTGCAATCCCTTCTCCTCCACCCTCCTCCTGGGATCTTGGGCACGCACACACACGCACCCGGCGTGAGTTTCAAGCTTTCAGGTCCGGGGCTCAAACTGTGGTAGGACATGTGGGAGTCCAGTGCCTTAAACACCACACCACCTGCTGGCCCTGAATGAAAAAACTTTAAAATAGAAAATAGGAAAATGAGAATATTAAAAAAATTGAAAATATCAGGAAAAATGATAAATCTTCCACTAGACTGACGGGGGTGGGGGAGGGTACCAGAAGACACAGATTGCTAAGTCCAGGAATAAAAGTGAGAACATTGGTATAGATCCTTCAGAAACAAAAAGGATTATTTGAGAATATTATCACCAACTTTATATCAACAAATTAGATAACTCATGAAATAGACAAATTTATAAAAAGATACAAATTCTTGAAGCTGACTCTGGAAGATATAGAAAATCTCAGTAAAGATATAACCAGTAAAAATTGTATTAATAATGTAAAATCTCCCTACAGACAAAACCCTGGCCCAGGTGGCTTAACTAATAATTATATCAAATACTCTAGGGACCAGCAGATGGTGTAATGGTTATGTCTCCAGACTCCCACGTAATCAACCACGGTTTGCATCCCAGAGCCAGCAGCTTAAAACTCATGCTGGGCATGTGTGATACATGCCCAAAATCCCGAGAGAAGAACGGAGGAGAAGGGTCTGGTGTGGCCGTCCCCCTGGGGCGCGATTTCTTGCTTTCTGTCTCTCTGTCTCCCTGGTGAGCACACATGTCTTACATGAAAAATCTCTCTTTAAAAAATACTCTAGCAGAAATAACACCAATCCTTTACTCACCCTTCCAAGGACTAGAGGAGAGTTATGCCCACTTGTCTCACGAAGCCAGGATTTGATCCCCGAGCCACAAAAGTTATCACAAGGAAAAAACAAAAAAGACCACAGACCTCTATCCTTCATTAGCATAAACGCAAACTCCTTCACAGATGGACTCCTGTAAACTGGTCCTGCAACATACTGGATTAATCATCCAGTCTTACCCACAAGTCTCCCAGGAGTGAGAGACCATCTCCACAGGGAAGCCATCACACAGAGCGAGCTGCTGGTGCCGGGAGAGTACCCCTGTGAGGTTATCCCCACAGCCCTAGCCACATGCAGGCGGGGTCAGGGCTGTCTGCATAGTCGCTCTCCACCGAACACCCTAAGGGACACTGACCTGCCCAGGGTCCAGGACCCCTAGAGATTCCAGAATGTCCTCACCCCCTTGGAGGAGACGGGACCTCACACAGGGAAGGGACAGCCACAGGCACCACAGCTGGGCCAGAGTGTAGACAAGGCTTCTCTGCCTGGCGGGGCAGAGTCCAGGAGGCTGAGGAGCCCGCGTCCCTGCCCGGGCCACAGGGGGCGCTCCTGTTGCAGTTCCGACGTCGTGGGGCCCTGCCCCTCCTGTAAGGGGGATGAGGTCAACTGTTCTCCTCTTTGACCTCAGGCAGGCCCCTTCCCTCCCCTGGTCTCAGCCAGACTGAGTGGCCCAGACCCAAGTTTAGAAAAGTCAAAATTTAAAAACGAAACTCCCTGGGAAGGGTGGGGACTGGGTGTGCGATGGAGGGCCCTGGGAGCGCGCAGTCGGGCTGGCTCTGTGGCAAGGGCGAGGCTGTGCGGGGTCCCGGCTGCGCGCTGAATCTGCTGGGGCATGCTCCACGGAGGCCACAACCCCCGAGCAGAGGGGCTGGGGCAGCAGGTGGCCAGCGCCCATTTCCGGGAGGAGGCAGCAGGTCGCCAGGCCCAGCACTGATCCTGTGCCTGGCACACAGGTGCCTTCCCAAGCCTGCGGCTGGCTGAGGCCCTCGGAGAACACCAGCAGATCCTGGAGGCTTTTGGTGTTTCCTCTCTGGGAGTGAGGGAGGGCCGGTGGGCGTGGGCAGGGTAAGCGCTGCAGGCCTCGGGTCCTCCTCCGGGTGGGGTCCCTGAAGTGCAGCGGTAACCGCCAGCTTCCAAGACCAGGGCCGGCACCACACCTTGCAGCCTGGCAGGCGTGCGAGCCCCGTGGGCCCTCTCCACTGTCCCTCTGGTCTTGAGGCTGCAGCGCAGTGATGAGTCCTCAGGAAGGGACCTATCCGTGCCACAGTGTGGTGACAAGGCAGAGAGGGCTGCACAGGGAATTGCCACTCCCGGAGTGAGGTGGTCTTTCCCGTCACACTTGGGGTTCGTAGGGAGCGCCAGGATGGCATGCCTGCCTGGCGCCCACTCAGGGCCTTCCTGGGAAACACGTTTTACCGACTCGTGCCGGCAGGTGGGATCGCCTGGTCTGCGGTGCGGTGGGCCCTTCTACTGGGTCCCGGGGCTCCCTGCCAGGCCCCTCCCGTGCCTCATGCAGGGGCGTCTGGGGCCCAACAGAGCAGCACTTTCCAGACAGCACTGTTGGCTGAAGGCCCAGAGAGACGGGAGCCAGGGGCCCTGCCCAGCCAAGGACACAGCCCAGGTGCAGGGCGGGAGTACCCAGGTGAGAATGCAGCCCAGTGCAGGGAGCCAGGTGCCGTGGCCTGGAGTCAGACCCCCAGGTGAGTCACGGAGCTTTGATGGTGGCTCTGATGAGCTGTAACCTGTCCCCAGCGCCCGGGACTGGCTGAGTGAGGTGAGTGGGCCTGGCGTGCCTCAGCCCCTGGAGAGGATGCCGAGCCATGGGCAGGTCTGCTGTGGGTGCTCCTGGCTGCCCCTGGTCAGGCAGGTGGGGTTGGCCATGAGGGTGCAGGTGTGGTGTTCCCAGGGCCCAGGTGCGGTCTCCCACCACCACACGACACGTCACCACAGGCCCTGCCCACACTCCTCTGGACCTGGGCATGGCTGGCCTGAACGTGTCCCTCTGTTTCTTCTTTGCCACTGTTGCCCTCTGCGAGGTGGCCAGGAGGGCGTCCAAGGCCCTGCTCCCCGCGGGCGCCTACGACTGCTTTGCCCGGGAGGCACTGGGCATGGCCCAGCTCGGGGCCTGCTGCCTGGAGCTGAGGATGCTGGCGGAGCTTGGCCCCTGGGCCGGGGGCTTCGGGCCTGACCTGCCGCTGACCCTACTCTTCCTGCTCTTCCTGGTGCACGGGGCTACCTTCGACGGGGCCGCAGCCAACCCCGCTGTGTCCCTGCAGGAGTTCCTCCTGGCTGAGGCGTCCCTGCCCCACACGCTGCTGAAGCTGGCAGCCCAGGGGCTGGGCGTGCAGGCAGCCTGCACGCTGACGCAGCTCTGCTGGGCCTGGGAGCTCAGTGACCTGCACCTGCTGCAGAGCCTCCTGGCCCAGCACTGCAGCTCGGCCCTGCGCACCTCCGTGCCCCATGGCGCACTGCTGGAGGGCTCCTGTGCCTTCCTCTTCCACCTGGCCCTCCTCCGCCTCCGGCGCAGCCTCCCCATCTGCAGAGTGGCGGCTGTGGCTCTGCTGGTCACCCTCATGGCCTACACAGGTGAGACCCTGCATCTCTGTGCCCCGTTGGGGCCACTGTGCACACTCGTGCCTGTGGACACCCAGGAGCCCAGGACCCACACCAGGAGCTGGGCTGGCTGGTCCCGGGACCCTGGCTGGTGGATGCAGGACAGTGGGCTGCACACAAGGCAGTGGGGGAGCTCCCAGCCCCACCCAGGCTGTCCTCCTGGCTGAGTGGGGTGAGTGGGCATGGCGTGCCTCCCAAGGAGCGGGACGGGGGTCGGGGGCCAGGTCCACTCTGGGTTGAGACGTGGGGGGAGGGCATCCCTCATCCCTGCTGCTCCTGGCTGAGCACAGAGCTTCTCAGAAGCAAAGTGCTATGGACAGGGCGCCTAGCCCTGCTGGGAGTGGCCCGAGACCTCCCGCCATCAGCACAGGAGGTCTGCAAGGCTCCTCCCCCGCCAGGACTCCCTGGCTGCCTGTGCCCGCCAGCTCCAGGCTCCAGTTTACCTGGTCTCTGTGTTCCCCAAGGCCCAGACCCTGGTCCTGCCCCACCAGTAGCAGGGCCCCGGCCATGGGCCCCCCCCCGACAGCCCTCTCAATGGTGACTCCTCTGGCTGAATCCCTGAGGGCTCCGGCTCCCTCGGCCTCCTTCCCACCCCATCTCTGTCTTTCCGGTTCTCGCTGTCTCTTTTTATCTCTTTTTTTTTTTTTTTTTTTTTTTTTTTGAGAGATTTTCTCCATAGGGCGCATGCGCTCGCCAGACAGACAGAGAGAGACAGAGAGACAGAAAGCGAGAAATCACCCCCCAGGGTGGATGGTCACGCCACAATCCCTTCTCCTCCATTCTCCTCTCGGGATCTGGGCACGTACGCACATGCGCCCGGCGTGAGTTTAAGCCACTGGGTCCGGGACGCGAACCGCAGTTGACTACATGGGAGTCCAGCGACATAGCCATTACGCTAACTGCTGGTTCCCTCTTTCTATCTCTTTATGGCCTCTCTCCATCTCAGTCTCCCTATCTCGATATCTGATTTTTTCTGTTTCTCTCTACTTCTATCTTTCCTCTCTGTGTCATGCCCGGTCCCACCATTCCCTGAGTCTGATTGGCTGCCTAGGTGTGTCCATTAGAGCAGCAGGGCGGGGCTGAAGCCCAGGGCAAGTCCTGCATGGAGGGGGCTCATCGTGGGCACTGGAGACTCTGACTCAGTCTGGGAGGCAGCTGCGGGAGGGCCGCTGACAAGGATTGTCCATGCTCTGTCCACAGCTGGGCCCTTCACATCTGCCTTCTTCAACCCCACCCTGGCCACTGCAGTCACCTTCCACTGCTCCGGGCACACCTGGCTGGAATATGCCCAGGTGTACTGGCTAGGCCCTCTGACAGGTAAGGGCGGTGGGGTGGGGCCACTCGGGCCTGCAGGACCCCTGGCCCAGCCCTGGGAGTCCTGGAGGGCAGGGACAAGGCTGGCCCTGGGCAGCAGCTCAGGTTCTGGGACAGGGAAAGGACTCAGCACTGCTACACCCAGCTCTGCTGGCCAGCTGGCGGCCGGGGAGCCCCCGGGCGGCTGAAGCATGAGTCCTCCCCGGTGCTATGGGGTCCTGGGGAAGAGGCCAGGGGCAGGCACAGAGGGGACGGGTCTGGCACCAGGTACGGAGGCTGCAGGTGGGAAGGGAGGCCTGCGAGGCTGGCCAGGACAGGCAGGGCAGTGCCAGCAGTGGGCTCTCTGCACCCGGGGCTCCACAGCCTCCCAGCGCGTCTTCACCCGCTTCGCGAGGTGCTGGTCCTGGTGACCCTGGAGCTCAGGGGAGCAGGCTCTGCTTAGACCATAAGGGGATCTGTTCCCCCACAGGTCTGTGGGTGTGGAGGTGACCCAGCCCCATAGGCCTTGGCAAGCCCCCGACTCCCTGAAGCACGAGGAGACCCCCTCGCTCGCCCAGCCGTGGAGCCCTCCCTCCCAGAGACCAGCATCTCAGACCGGAGACAAGGGCTGCAGAGGGGCGCTGGGCGCAGGGGCCGCTCTCGGGGCCCTGCAGCTGCTTGTGGTTGGGGAGGCCCATCCTGACCAGGCAGCCCCTGACGCGGGGAGGCGCACAGCCCACTGGCAAAATCCCGGGAGGAGCTCCAGCAGGCACGCGAGGAGCCGCTCTCCTGCTCGGCTGACCCTCCCAACCCGGAGGGGCAGTGGGTTAGGGTCTCCACCTGGGGACACAGATTAGTGGGCTCCATCCTGCCCACCCCTACCCATCTCCCCCAGCCCCCTCCACACTCGCCACGTCCACAGACAGCCACCTAAGGGTGGCAGCCCCGGAAAGAAGGCCACGCAGGTTCCAGAGGTGGCTGGAGACACCCTGGCAGGGTCCCAGCCTGAGCGTGGGCCCTGGCTCATACCATCACCATGGGGAGGGTGCCCTGGGGAGAGGTGTGGCCCCCTGCAGGGCCCGAGGCCCCGCCCAGGAGAGGGTTAGGGTGCGCGAGGCCAGCTGGCTTGGTCACAGGTAAAGGGCTGCAGTGCGACCCTGTCTCTTGCAGGGATGGTCCTGGCTGTCCTGCTTTACCAGGGCCACCTTCCTCGCCTTTTCCAGAAGAACCTGCTCTATAGTCAGAAGAGCAAGTACCGAACCCCGAGAGGAAAGCCAGCCCCAGGTCCTGGGGATGCCCAAAGGCCTGGCAAGGCGGGCAGCGGCCGGGCGCCTGGGCGGGGTGGGCTGGGGTGGCAGTTGTGGAATGCCACCTGAGCCCCCGGCTCTGGGAGGTACCAGCTGCAGGACCCTGGGACTTCCTGGAGCAAGAAGGAACCCCTGCCCCACCCCAGAAACCGTTTTCAATAAACCACTCTTAAGACCTGCCTGTCTCCCTGGGCCTGAGGGAGGCTTCTGGAGGGAGGCAGGGGAGGCTTCTGGGGGGAGGCAGGGGAGAGGCCGCTCCGAATCGCCTTTTCTCCCACAGGTCTCTCTGCCACTTATTTACAGAATGGAGTGAAAGGTAAGACCTGGGGACAGAAGGAGGCCAGGGTGAGCGGGCCTGGGCCAAGCAGCGAGCACAGTGGCACCTGGACCTGCTGCATGCCCGCAGCCCAGGGGTCCCCAGCAAGTCCCGCAGCCTCTGCACAGGCAGCCCAGGAGGGGCACTCGGTTCCAGCAGAGCTTTTCCCGGGACGTCAGCACAGGGAAGAGAATGCCTGGCTGCCCTGAGGCTCCCAGGGAGCGTTGGCACTCAAGGGCTAGATTCTGCTCTGGACACTCCCGGAACTTTATTTCAGGGCCGTCGCGAGCTCTGAAATAAAGCTAAGGTAATGATCACCGCATCCGATGGAGAGGAACGCGATTTTCCTAGGAACTGTGGATGGATGATTAACGTGGAAGGTCATTTTAAGAGATTTCTTCCTCGCAATTGAAGATAGAGTGGTAGAAATCACAAATAGATGTTTCCAGCGATGTGCGAATCACGAATCCCTTTTCAGCCTCTTACAGGATTCAACGAATCGCAAGGACCGTTGGAGGGAAACTAAAATCACACTGCAAGCTAGCATGTTTTTAATTTTTAAAAATGTTTATCTTTTATTCTCATGTTAGCATTTAATGTTACACTCAGTCTTGCACCTAACGGGGTTGTGTGACGAGGTCGATATTGGAAGAACCATCCACTCGGGCCGGCTCTGTGGCTTTGTGGTTAGGTGAGCCAGATCCCACGCAGCCAACTGCAGTTCAAGTCCTGGCCCCAGTGGCTTGAAAAACCCACCGTGCTTGTGTGCACACAGGCCGCCATCCTGACAGGAGGGAGAGAGAGGGTGGCTGTGGGACCACGGCCTGTTGAGGGGTGCTTTCTCCCGCTCTCTCAGTGAGCACGCACACATGTGGCAATTTAAAAAGAAAGAAAGAAGGACCAGCAGTTGGCATAATGGCTACATCGCTGGACTCCCACGTAATCGACCATGGTTCGAGTCCTGGACCCACTGGCTTAAACTCACGCCGGGCGTGTGTGCGTGCGTGCCCAAGATCCCGAGAGGAGAACGGAGGAGAAGGGATTGTGGCGTGGCCATCCCCCTAGGGGGTGATTTCTTGCTTTCTATCTCTCTCTCTCTCTTTTTATTTTATTTTATTTTATTTTATTTTTTTAGAGGTTTTTGCTATAGGGCGCGTGTACTCCCCATACAGAGAGAGACAGAGAGATAGAAAGCAAGAAATCATCCCCCCTGGGGATGCCAGGGGGGATGCCACACCGCAATCCCTTCTCCTCCATTATCCTCTCGGGATCTTGGGCGAGAAATGTTCTGGACGAGACCATCAGAATATGACCAGGGTCATTAGATGGACATGACCTTGGGTGACTGGATTGTTTTAGGTAGAATGTCCTGAAACTTGTTATGTGCAAGATGCTTCAATCGTTGTAACGCGCCCTATAGCAAAAACCTCTCCAAAAAAAAGGAAAAGGATCAGGCACCCTAGAGTATGACGGTGCACGACACGGGCGGCCGTTGGCGGTGCAGTCCGTGTTGCCGCAGTCTGCAGGGCAGGTGAGCGTCGCGCCCGCAGAAGAGCCTCTCAGAATAAAATCATTGGAAAGGGCTTGCCGAGAGTGACTGCGGTTGCTTTCACTGAGATTAAGGAAGAGGGAACTTGCTGAAACACCAGCTTTGGTGGACAGCGAGTGAGTTTGCAGAAGCAGGAGTGGGAAGCCCTGCAGGCCGGGGTGTGCTAGCCAGTGAGGGGTCATGGGCCCGGCTACACGATGTCCCCAGCAGTCTGCCGCAGCCGACCCCTCCTGAGCCCGGACGCCTGCTCCGGCTGGCCACCAATAAAACAGAGAAATGCAAGCTTCCTACTCGACCATCCTAATGGTGCCCTTTCTTGCTTTCTCTTTTTATTAAGAAAGATTTTTGCTATAGGGCGTGTGCGCTCACCAAAGGTACAGAGACAGAAGAAAACGAGAAGTCACCCCCAGGAGGTTGGTCGCAGCATGGTCCCCTCTCCTCCAACCTCCTCTGGGGATTTTGGGCACGCATGCACCCGTGCCCGACGTGAGTTTTTAAAGTCACTCAGTCCAGGACTTGAACTGCAGTCATCTATGTGGGAGTCCAGCGACGTAACCCTTCTGCCATCTGCTGGTCCCATCCTGCTCTCCAACAAGGCCTGCATTTTCACTGTGCACTGGCCCAGGCACGTGGAGCCACCCCTGCCAGGCTCTGCTCCTGGGTGGCCCCCATCCCACTGGGCCTTCTGGGGGAGCTGGCACAGGTAGCCATGCTGGGCAAACCACAGCTTGGGTGTGGCCAAGTTCTGACAGGTACACTGGGCAGCCAGGTTTAGGCCAGGCTTCAGCTCATAGCCCAGGATGGGTGCCACGCCGTGCTGGAGGGGGGCAGCTGGGCAGCGAGGCTGCAGGACAGTGTGTGCCAGCTGTGTCTGCGGCCACCACAGTGCAGCCACGTCCCTGCAGGTCTGTGGCCCCCAGGTGCCCAGTTGTAACCACAGGGTGCAGGTGAAGTGTGCAGAGGGTGCCCAGCTGAGCTACTGCGGGCACCCGGCACACGGTGTCAGTCTCCAGCAGCCTGTGGGCCAAGGCTGCGTGCTGGGCAGCAGGAAAGG